TGCCTGAAACACATATTTTTCCCTTCTAAGGCATATGATGCCTGGGGGAAATGTTTAAGGACTATGTCCAAGTTCTCTAAGTGCTCCTTATTGGTCTTCCCCATTATTACCACATTGTCTAGATAAATGGTGACCTGGGGTAGACCTTGTAAAATGTTCTCTATCATTCACTGAAAAATTGCATAGGCTGACGATACTCCAACTGGCATTATCGTATATTGGTACAATCCCTTATCGGTATTAATTGTAGCATACCAGCAAGAACTACAATGGCTTGCTGGCCAGGATCCTGAAGAAAATTTTAACTGTTTAACTGAGGCTTGGCTTTGTTTTGGTGTTTTGCTGTGTACTGACTCAGAGTCCCACCATTCAGGATTTGTCCTGAGTGAGGCTGTGCAATTGCCTGCACTCATGTTGTGTCCCCCAAACTTAGTTAGACTGGTGAGGGTGTTCACTTCCATCAGAATACCCTGCAACTCATATGCTCCACTTGCCACATTTTCCAGTGATAAAGCCAGTTGTAGTGCCTCTTTGAAGTTCAGTCAGGCTTTAGCTAGTAGTGCTTCTGCATGGTTACATCATTAATACCATATAGAAAATGGTCTGTCAGTGTTATACCAGAGTCATATTCCTTAACTAAATCAATTAACTCTTGAAAGATTTTAGTATCTGGTGCTTAAGGGAAAGTTGGGCTCCTGATGACTGAAAAAGATGTGGGACCACAAGCTGTCAAGAGAATTACTCATAGCTTTCCATCTGCCCGAAAGTCATTTACCCAGAAAAAATAATGCATTCTTTCCATATACTGGGCGCAGCCTTCAATGGCAGGATCAAACAAGTCAAGCTTCCCCAATAAAGGTGTTATGTCACAGGAGAGCATATTTGGCATGTAAATGCTTTATAACATCTTGAGATCATGAAATCCTCACCCCTACTCAAAGATGACTGTTGCAACTGAGTTTTTTCAGGAGTATGCTTTGTTCTTGTTGCCACTGAAATGACTGTACAGAGGCCACTATCCCATCACCAAGTCACCCTTTATTCACACGTGGAATTGCTTGACACTGATCCAGCTCTCAGAATGACAGGATATCTGACACTCCTGTTTTTATCTATCAGCCAGGGTTCCCTGATTAGATCAGATTAACAACCCCAATCTGGGAACCCATTTTCTATGAGGTCCATCTGGCTGACTTTGTTACAATCACTACATGTGTTTACTTAAAATTTAATTTGACTTATTTAGTCTTCCATACTAAATGTCCAGTGAACCCAAATTCTATTTCATTTGATGGTGAAATATTTTCTGAAGAGTTCCACCTGAACCCTTACAATATCTGGGAAAATTCTGACTTAACTAAAATAAATTGCATGTTAAACTATGGAAAGGAAGGCAACACCCTTGACTGGCTTTCTTTCTTTGGATTGGTTGCTAATTGGACTCAGTGGACCACAAATTACATGTCCTACAGCCAAACTCTCTCTGGCTGAAGTTGAGGGAAATTAGTTGGAACATATACCTGATCCACATAGCTCCAAGTTTGGAGTTAAAATTATATAAAAAAAAACACCACAAGGTGAGGTCTACATCTTATATAAGTTCAGCCTAGCCTCCTTGCTCTTGTACACTTATCCCCATTTAATGAAATCTAGGTATTGAGCCTATGAAATATTAAGCATCCTTCAAAGGTCTCCTGGATGCCACTCAAAAACTGTTTTAAATGGACCAGGAGCACTGAGGCCAGAAACTGCCAAATTGGTGCAGATCGTACTCTTACTTTGCCACTCTGATCGGTTTGTCCCCTTCACTGTCCCAAGGCCTCATTTCTGGCAGTTGAATGGAGGAGCATTGATACATTTTATCTCCCTCCAACCAATCATTGAGCTACCTGTGTGTGTTACAATTTACTGAAAATATTTGAAGGAACACTGACTATAAAAAATATATTTGACCTCTTTACTGGAGCCATTGGTTGGCCATTCCCCATGTAATCTGTGCCACCAGAGAGTCATTGGACCCGAAACGTTAACTCAGATTTTTTCTTCACAGATGCTGCCAGACCTGCTGAGTTTTTCCAGCAAATTCTGTTTTTGTTCCTGATTTACAGCATCTGCAGTTCTTTCAGTTTTTATCTAATCTGTGTACTAGTTAAAAATTGTCTAATGTGACTAGGATGCACTACATTTATTTGGCTAGGTAAATGCAAATGTTTCTGTTTTTTGCGAACAAAAACACAATCTAGTTTATGCTCAAATACTTGCTAGTGGGAGTACATTTTGCTGCTCATTTTTTAAACTGACTTCAATGGATCTGGAATGTTTTAAAACTGAGTAGAAAATCCATTGTACATCAAAATGCATTACATATTATTGTGCAAATTTTTCAATTCTCTTTTAGAATGTGACTACCTTCAAAGCTTTTGTGCACCTTCTTGAGAATCCAAAAAAAATGAAAGTAATAAAGGAATGAAGCATTTAAATTTTTAATGAAGTATGTGGTTGAAGACTTGGACAATGAAGACCATCAGTTTAACTGGGGCAATGTAACCATAGCAGCCCAAGCCAAACATAGACACACACGGGAATTCCTAGAGGCATGGTTTTCAACCCATAATGTAATCGACAAACATATAGAATTGGACCCCATATACAAACCCATACAGAACAAAACCGGAAATGACACAACTCACCATATCATACCAGACAGTATAAATTCCAAGCAAAGTAGAACAACATTGCTTCATCACTGATGATGTCATCTAGTATTGTAACAAAACGTCTGAACGTAAACAAGCCAGCTCAGCGAGCTAGTCCACAATCTTACCCACAGTCCAAGCTACAAATCTTTGCTAAAACCTTAAATGTGCTTGAAAGGGAATGATTATTGTTTTACTTTGCCTTTTTTCCTCAAACATTGAAACTGTATCTCTTTTTTTAAAATGGCAGCATTTATTGCCCATCCCTAATTACCCAGAGGCAGTTAAGATACAACCACATTGCTGTGGGTCTGGAGTCACATGTAGGCCAGACCAGGTAAGGATGGTGGTTTTGTTCCCTAAAGGACATGAGTGAACCAGATGGATTTTTCCAACAATTGACAATGGATTTACAGTCATCATTAGATTCTTAATTCCAGATATTTGGGGAATTCAAATTCCACCATCTGCTGTGACAGGATTTGAACCTGGGTCCCCAGAACATTATCTGGGTCTCTGGATCAACAGTCCAGCAATAATACCACTAGGTCATTGCCTCCCCAGCACATAGACTGTCTAAAACTAACTACTGTGCTTGAAATTGTAAATGGCACAGCTGTTTAACAACATGTGTCTTGGTATCAATACATTTCTACCATAACAAGGACAGTATGAAGCCAAGGATATTTAAAACTGAATCCTAATGTTTTACTTTATATCTTTGATAAATTACAACTGAGGATCAATGTAAAGTTCCATACATCATGGTAGGTGATTACTTAGTGGTATTATTGTTAGACTATTAATCTAAAGACCCAGGTAATGTTCTGGGAACCCGGGTTCAAATCCAGCTATGGCAGATGGTGGAATTTGAATTCAATAAAAATCTGGAATTAACAGTCTAATGATGCCCATGAAACCATTGCCGATGGTCAGGAAAAATCCACCTGGTTCACTCATGTCCTTTAGGGAAGAGTACTGTCATCCTCACCTGGAATGGCCTATATCTGACTCCACAGAAATGTGATTGACCCTAGCTGCCCTCTGGGCAGTCTGGAATGGGCAATAAATGCTGCCTAGCCAGTGATACCCTTATCCCGTGAACAAATAAGGACCATCATGTAAAGAAGTTGCCACTGAAACTGAATACTGCAACGCTCAACAGTTTTAGGCTATTACAATACCTCGTACAAGACAAGTCATAATAGAATCCATGTCCTCCTTTCTTTTCAGAAGGAAGTGACACACCACAACCTGTAAATGTATCAGAACTATATAATAATTTTATCTTATTGAAAAATGGAATACAATAAGAATACTAGGCAAATGTAGTAAATTTTAGCTGTCTTTATTAAGAATATGCTAACTTGCTGTACAGGATAATTCACAATCTGAGCCCAACTTGTCAGATCTGCCTTCTCGTGCACGTATTGTTCTGTCTTGTAAAAGGTATCTGATATCCATATGTTCTTTGCTAAACCTAGTGTTTGCACCCAGTCAGAGTTTTGGCATGTGAAGGGGCTTCTTACCAGCATAGCCTCTTTTTCTGAAGTTTCCTTGTCTTTTTATTTGTTTTGTTCCTCTATCTGTCTTTTTCAGTGCTCAGGTCGTGTCATGTCATGAGCATTGCATTTCATGCTAAAATTGATGCAGGTCTGCACAATCATTATACCCCACCTGAAGAATTTTGAAACAAATTCTTCTTGGATAGAAAAGAACAATATTTGTGTCGAATTAGTATGTTCATTTGCCACCCCTGCTCACAACTAGGATACATTTCTGGAGCTTGGGTAACCGTTAGCAACTGCTTCATTAACACTAATGCACTTATAGCATTTGATGTCTATGATGGACAGACAATATGTTCTTCAAGCAAAATGGAGTGAAATGTTATCTTGGTATTTTTATTCATATTTTATATATCTAATATGTATTTTTACTGGTAAATTTACTATGGAGGTGAATCATAAAATGACTGCTATCTGAAAGAAAAATGCAAAAAATATACCTTTTCCAAACTTGTTACTCCTCATCCTGCTTGCACCTTCCAATTACTTTTCAATCAACTGCTGAGCACTTATTAATCTATTTACTTACTATGTTGCCAATCTGCATGTTTGGATTAATAGGAAAATTAGCCTCTGGATATGAATGGTAGCCAGGCCTTTTTTTTGAAAAGGTTATTATGCTTTTCTCTGCTTTTGAACACAATTACCATTACATGCTTTCCAAAAAGGAAAGGTTGATTTTATTTTCTCTCCCTCCATCTCTTTCACTCTTTCAGGCGGATGTTTCCAGTTCTGAAAATAAGTGTATCTGGATTGGATCCAAATGCCATGTATTCATTCTTACTGGACTTTGTTGCTGCTGACAGTCATCGTTGGAAATACGTGAATGGTGAATGGATTCCAGCTGGTAAACCAGAACCCCTGACACAGAGTTGTGTTTACATCCACCCTGACTCCCCTAACTTCGGGGCACACTGGATGAAAGCTCCAATCTCTTTCAGTAAAGTCAAGTTAACAAATAAAGTCAACACTGGTGGGCAGGTACATCTTTCTCCTCCCATCTCATTTGCAGTAACAAGCAGGGCAATTGTGAAATATCAAGTGTGCATTAATGTAATTATACCAATCCTCTCAGCCTACTCTACTCATATAGACCACTGTTTGAAAGGAAACCAAACGTAAACAAGAATAAACAGGTCTAATTGGCACTTTCTGAGTTTAATGGACAGCGTGTTTTAGTCAGAAAAAGAGGTTTTGCTTGATGCAGTCCAGCAAGCATTAAGAGATATCCAAATGAGTACAATTTCATGTAAAAATGTTTGTAATGAGTTCAGTCATTTATGTTTTCCTTGGCACAGATTTTATTAAAATTGACATTGAACAAAAGTAAATGTTTTATGCAAAATTACATAATTAGAGTTGTTTTGTAATTATGAAATTAACTGCATTTTTTACAGGCGGAGAAAAGACAACGAATCATAGTAACCATTATGCAACATATTTATTGGAGGACAAAACTGTATTACTTCAGTTCTGGGACACAGAGCTAGCTCTTACTTCAAACTAATTAACAGCCAAGATGTAGCACTTATATTCTATTTAAGTGTGATGTAATATGTTCAGTATTTCAAAAGATCATGAGGAATATCTTCTTTCTTTTATGCTCTTTCTGTTTTAGTAGGTTACTTGCATACATGTAAATCTGTTAAAAAATTTCTTCATTAATTCTTTTTGTTTTGCACTTAAGATTGATTTGTCAGCAGTAGACAATGGAACACCTTTTGATTTTTGTCACTTACTGTCAGCAGCAAGCACTAGTATAACATGGTCAGATACAGAGCAAAATTTTGAAAGAAATTATTGAAGTTTATCAGGATGCAGAATGGCATTTTGCAGGGTGAAATAAGTTACATCTTGGGTGATATGGCTAACAAGAGTTACTGGCTATCCTTATTTAGTGGTTTCCTTGTAATTATGTTCCAATGCAGGACAAGATAGTCTGTTCACAAATTGTTCTGCAAATACCTGAACTCCCAGCTTTAAATAAAATCTTTTCAATGCGAAATAGAGGATTTAATGTTGCCCCATACATTTTTCCTGCAGCTGATTATTTATGTCAGGGTGCATATCTGTCAATTGCTCAGGTTTTTTTTAGGCTTTTTGATGAAGGGAGATCTGTCCACTGTTATAGCATTTTCTTTCTTTTAACCCTACCACTGACCACACTTAACTGTCCAGCAAACTTGACTGGCACTATGTTTCTGGCTGTTACTTCAGTGTGCTCATTTGCTTTTTGTGTGATTTGATCTAAATGGCTGAATGACATCAAAATAGGTGGTGTAGTGGGCAGCGAAGACGGTTATCTTAGAGTACAACGGGACCTTGATCAGATGGGCAAATGGGCTGAGGGGTGGCAAATAGAGTTTAATACAGACAAATGTGAGGTATTGTATTTTGGTAAGGGACACCAGGGCAGGACTCACACAGTTAATGCAAGGAGGTTTGAAGTGATTCATTTTGGTTGGAAGAATGAAGAGAGGCAATGTAAAATGAAGAGTATATTATAAAGGGGGTTCATGAGCAAAGAAACTTGGTTGTACAATGTGGTTAATAGCATGTTCTCGGGCTTTTTAAATAGGGGCATAAAAATCAAAAGCATTGTTGGACCTGGACCTTGGAAATGAAGTGAGCCAAGTGGATCAAGTGTCGGTGTCATTCAGAAGACAATGATCATTGTATCATAAGATTTTGGATGGTTTTGAAAATGACATGTAACAATCAGTGTAAGCAAAATCAGCTAGTAGCAAGCAAACTTTAATGGGGAAAGAAGAGAGCTGAACACAATTGACTGGAATAAGAGTTTGGCAAGAAAAATAGTAATTGAACAATTGGCCACTTTTAAATAATGCAAAGTTCAGGTAGATTCGATGGATATTCTTTCTAATGGAAAGGGTAGAACAAATAAATCCAGAGTTCCCTGGATAACAAAGGAGATATAAAGTAATATTAGAAAGAAAATGTGAGTTTATGATAGTTGTAAGGCAGAAAATACAATTGATGATCAATAGGAATACTAAAGATTTAGGGGGAGGTGAAAAAGAAAATAAGACAAGCAAAGAGAAACTAAAAGAAAATCTATTGGCATATATGCAGTAAGAGAACAGAAAGAGGAGTAGGGCAATCAGAGACCAAAAAGGCAAGTTACAATAGAGGTAGGGGCATGGCTGAGTTTTTAAATGAATCCTTTATTCTGTGTTTATAAAAGAAGAGGATACTGCCCAAGCCATGGTGACAGAGGAGGAACCTTTATCACTAGAAGTGTTCAAAATTAATTATAAAGAATTCTTGGAGATATTATTGGCACTTACAGTTGACAAAATGCCAGGATTGGTTGAAATGCATCCAAATATTTTGAAGAAAGGGGAGGGTAGAAATTGTGGAGGCATTGGCCATAATCTTTCAGTCTTCCTTAGACTTGGCGATGGTGCCAGAAGATTGGAGAATCGCAAATATTATGGCTTTGTTCAAGAAAGGTTGTAAAGGTAAGGCCAGCAATTTTAGACCAGCCAGTTTAACATCAGTGGTGGGGAAATTACTGGAACAATCATTCAGGATAGAATTAGTAATCATTTGAAAAAAAGTGTGTTATTAGAAGGAGTCCTCATAGATTTCTAATGAGGAGATTGCATTTAGCTCACTTACTGGAGTTTTTTTGAAGAGGAACCAGAAAGGATCCAGGAGAGTAACACTATTGATGTTGTATATCTCGGTTTCCAGATGGTGTTTGATACAGTGCCACATAATATTTGTGAGGAATGTTATAGGTCATAGTGTAAAAGATAATGTATGGATATAAAATTAGCTAAGTGTTAGAAAACAGAGAGAGAAATTTTTCAGGCTGGAGAAAAATTTGGAGTGGAGTTCCCCAGGCGTCAATATTGCTTTTGCTGATATATTATTGATCTGGATCTTGGTGTACAGAGGACAATTTCAAAGTTTGCAGATGAAATGAAACTTGGAAGAGTTGTAGACTGTGAGGGGATCAGTGTGGAATTTCAAAGCGATGTGAGGAAAAAAACCTTTTCACAGTGAATAGTTAGAGTATGGAATGCACTGCCTGGAAATATGCTGGAGGCATGTTCAGTTGAGACATTCAAGAGAACGTTGGATAATTATTTGTATAGTAATAGTGTGCTGGAACATGAGGAAAAGGCAAGAGATTGGGACTAGGTGATAGAACTGGCGCAGATAGGCACAATGTGCTGAATGGCCTCCTTCTGTTCCCTAACAATTCTGTGATTCTGAGCAGCAACATTAGTGCGATTGTGTATTAATGCCATTCCACCACAATTTTGTCTTAGCTACAAAATTGGTGTTTACCAGGAAATGTTTTGCCATGTTTTTACAGGTAATTCTAAATTCTCTGCATAAGTACAAGCCTCAAATTCATATAGTGCGTGTAGGGGGTCCTCACAGGATGATTTCAAATCACTCTTTTCCGGAGACTCAGTTCATTGCAGTGACTGCATATCAGAATGAAGAGGTCAGTATAAAGATCGTTACAATATTGGTTTATATTTAGCTTCTCATAATTATGTTGGTGCACTACATACCTTAAGTACGATTGTTGGATGTTTTCAAACATTGTCTTTTTTACATTGGGATGTAGTTGTAGATACTTCTATTCATTCATTATTGATCATTTAAGGTTTAAGATGAGAATGCTGAGTAAGCACTTACTTTTTTTTATTCCATAGTGCAGTGAATGTAGATCATGAAAAGTATGTGGATGAATTTGTCAGTTTGAGGTTCTCAATGTGGCGTTCACCAGTGATAACACTGAGCCTCGTGCCTGTTCTCCCACATCCTGGTTCTTAAGAGATAATACACCTTCGCAGCAGTGTTTGTGCTAGCTAATATTTCCTTCCTTCCGAGTCAAATTGCTTTCCAGCTGATCAACAGGAAACTCAGATGTTTTCTTTATTCCAAATGTTACTTTAGACCCAGATTTTCCGATGGCCAGATAATAGTTTCTGAATTGTAAATAAGAATTGCACATGAGGATACTGTGGAGTTCCCATTTTAATAGACTTGAAAGGATTTGCCCAGGAAATTGGAGATTCCGCTGAACAATTTCCCTACACTGGAAACTTCATGAAAGTATGCATTTTAATTGCAGAATTTGGAAGGTTAAGTAAATAGGTAATAGAGGAAATTTAGACTAACCTAGACTTACTCCTGCGTAACTATTAAATTGACCTCCCAGCTTACCTTACTGCTTGAACTACACTCCACCAAATCCTAAAACCCCACAAAATCTGACTTGATTCTATACTGAAATCTGACACCCACTCTCCATCACACTCAGAATCCAAAACCTCTTCCTGTCCCTGCTGCTGAACTCAACCATCACCCACAGCACACCTGAGACCTGACAACTTTCCCACGGTCCCAGGAATCACCACCACCCACCCTTATCCCTTCCAGGCGTGATATCTTCCAGACACCCTCAGGAATCCTACACACTTCATCATGTACTTGATCCTTTGCCACTTTGCACCCTGGTGTTCCACTCGACTGGCACCGTACCCACTGACATGCTACACCTTACCAACTTGCACCCTACCCGCTACCTACTTGGCACCCTATCCACCTGGTACTGTTTCCCCTTCCCCACCTACTTGGCACCCTAACCTATACATATCTTATGCACTTAACATTTCACAGCAGTTGTTAAAGTGGCTGTCTATAATGTTGGGCATTTAAATTTCAGAATATTGCCACTGAATTCTGTGAAAAAAGGGGTGTAGTTTGCTTTCCCATGTTTAGAACAGACAATGAGGGATCTGTTAGAATGGAAACACAGCTCCTAATTTTTGAAGGACCTCCGACTGGAATCTCCTAGCCGAAATGCTGAGCTCTTTCATTGCGAAAAGAAAGAATCTTTGTGAGATTGCAACTTCTCAGAAAATCTGGCTGTATATTTTCAGCTTCATTTGTTTTTGCCTTGATTTTTGATTTGGGACAGTGGGAGGTATGAATATTAGCAATCAGTGTAGAAGTGAGGCTGCTAAGTTTGCAATGATGTGGTTGCAGGATGTGAAAAAAGATAAGTGAGCAGCAGTTTCTGACAAAAAGGAGCTGAGAACTGAAAGAGAGAATAGTAATTAATTGGCAGAAGGGAGAAAATAATAAAGTCTAAATGTGTCCAACTATGTTTGTCTAGTCCAACAAGAAAGGAGGCGCTACTATGTCCTTGAAATGAGGTGGGCTAAGTGGATTAAATGACAGTAGGGAAACATTTTGGGGGTAGTGATCTTTGTATCATAGCATTTAAGATGAAGTTGTAAAATGAAATTGGTTGATCCAGAGCAAGAATAATGAACTGGTGCAGAGATTACTTTGATGGTGCAAGAATGGAGCCAAGCTAAATAGATTGGAGCTAAAGGTTGGCAGGAAAATCAGTAATGGAACAATGACTACCTTCAAAGAGGAGATTGTTTGGGCGCAGTCAGGGTATATTCTCTCTGATGGGATAGTTAGGACAAACAAATCCAGAGCTCCCTGGATGACAAAGGAGATAAAAATTAAGTTAAAGTAGAAAAAGTGTGTTATGGCAGGTGAAAACCAAACTGATCACAGAAGTATCAGAAGGGAAGTGAAAAAACAAGTACAAAAAGCAAAAGAAGATTCTGAGAAAAACACTGAGAACTAACATAAAGGCAATCATGAGCGCATAACTAAGAAAAGGGGCAGTACGGTGATTAGGGAAGGAAAAAAGGATTTACACTTGGAGGCAAGAGGCATGGCTGATATATTAAAATGAATACTTTGCATCTATCTTTGCCTACAAGGCAGATGCTGTCCAGACTACGAGGACAGAAGAAGAAACTAAGTCACTAAAAGGATACAAGGGAAGTAAACTAAAATAAAGAAGTGCAGATGCTTTAAATTTGAAACAAAAATAGAAACCACTGGAGAAATTCAGCAGGTCTGGCAGCTTCTGTGGAGACAAAGCAGAATTAATGTTTCAGTCCAGTGAACCTTCCTCAGAACTTCAGATTGGCAATTACAGACCAGTCAATTTAATTTTGGTGAGCAGGAAACTTCTAGAAACAATTTTTTGGGGATAAAATTAACAGTCACATGGAAAATGTTGGTTTAGAAGTGTCGACATAGATTTGTTGAGGTAAAATTGAGTCTGACTTGCTGGAATTATTTTGAAGACAGAACGGAAAGGTTTGATGAAGTCAAAGCTGTTAATGATGTATACACAGAGTGCCAAAAGGTGTTTGAAGATGTGTGAGGGAAACTATTGGTCATGGATAAAGGGAACAGTAGAAATATAAATACAAAATTGGCTGAGTGATAGGAAACAGAGTAATGATTAATGGATTTTTTTGGGCTACAAGAAGGTTTGTAAGGGAGTTCCTGAGATGTTGGTACTGGGACCCTTGATTTACCTGATACATATACATGATCTAGACCTCGATGAGCAGGTGACAATATCAAAGTTTGTAGCTAAGGCAAAACTTGAGAGCATTGTATATTGTGAAGAGGATAATGTAGAATTCTGAAAGGACATGAATTAGTGGAAAGGTGAACATTTGACAAATGAAGCTCAATGTGGAGAAATGTGAGGTGATTTATTTTGGTACAAAGAACATAGAGAGACAGTATAACATAAAGGGTATTATTTTAAAGAACATTCAGGAGCAGAGGAGCTAGCTGTATATGTACATAAATGATTAAACATGGAAGAACAGGTAGAGAGAGCTGTTAATAAAGCATGCAGTATTCTAGGCTTCATTAATAGGGGCATAGAGTACAAGAGCAGTGAGGGTAGACCACACTTGGAGTCCTGTGCACAGTATAAGTACTAGATAATGGAAAAGATGTAATTGGATTGGAAAGAGTAAGAAGAAATTTGTGAATGTTTACGGGATTGAGACATGTCAGTTATGAGGAAAGACTTGAGAAGTTAGGACGGTTTTCCTTGGAAAGGAGTGTTCTAAGAGGAAATTTGATAGAAGTTTTCAAAATCATGAGCAGTTCAGAAAGAGTAGATAGGGAGATACAGTTCCCAATCATGAATAGATCAAGAATCAGAGGGAACAGTTTTAAAGTGATTTGCAAAAGCAGCAAGGTGAGAAGGTGAGAAAAATCTTTTCAGACAGTGAGTAGCTAGGGTATGGAATGCACTGCCTAGAAGTCTGGTGGAGGTAGGTTCAATTGAGGCATTCAAGAGTTCATTAGATGATTGTTTAAACAGAAACAATGCAGGGCTGTGGGAAAAAGACAGGAGATTGGCAATAAGTTAAAGCCTTTAACTTAGTCAGTGCAGACATGCTGGACTGAATAGCTTCCTTCTGCACAATAACAATTCTGTGATTCTGCATCCTGTGAATTTAAGTGTATTTGTGTTGCTGCAACACTGTTGTTTGTGGCAACTCTACCCATTTGTAGGGTCTTCCTCTTACAAACATGCTGATAGTTTACAATCTGAGCCTCAATTCAGAACCTTGTGGATTTTCTCGAGTTTCATTTTGAAAATCTGGAAGATGGCATGTTTTCTGTATGCTATGCCTCTTTCTTTTCAGCACTGATGGCATTAGTTTTGGACTGGACTCTGGATACAAATGAATTTTTCTGGCCTTACTACCTCTGAAAGAGACCCTGATTGCAGAGTGAAGCTGTAGCCAAAAGGAACAATAGACAGCAAGTCAAGGGAACTGAGTAAACTTTGTCGGCGTCCCAATTCCGTCAATAATTCAATGAATTCAAGAGGGTTTAGGAGTAAGAGTGCTTGTGTGAATTAGCTGTTAGAAGGTGACGAATATTATGAATATTATATAAACTGGGAGGCAGAGGACTGTATACAAATGAAAATCTTCTCACTTTGTGTATTGGTTGTAAACAGCGGGAAAATAGATAGCGTGCATCTTAGTTAGTTGCCTTAAGCTGTCTATTGAGACTTTTTTTTAATAATTAGCTATCTACAGAGCAGCTTGCATTTTGGGTTTTATGTGTTTTGTCTTAAGGTTACAGCTCTGAAGATCAAGAACAATCCTTTTGCAAAAGCATTCCTGGATGCCAAAGAAAGGTTTGTCAACCGTTTGCGATAAAAACATGTAATGTCCCTTTTTACGGATTTGTTGTTACTTGGTATCTCTTTTGTCTTTCTAATGATGCATTTAAAATAATTTTAGAATGTATTTTGTTGTGTATTGCACAGAGTAATAATATGTGGGAAGCCACTATTATTCTAACTTTATTTACATCCCCTAATTGACAGGGTGCATAAGAAAATACTTGGCTATTATGAGATACTACAGGTTGCAGTTTGTTTACTGGTGACATTCCAACAGATTATAGAACATCACAGAATTAAAACAACTGGCAATACTGTAGTCCTGAGTTAAAAAAAATTAAACTGTACAAACCCAGTTGGGAGCAAATAAAAAGACATTCACTGGCATTAGAAGAGGTACCAATGTAAGTGATTTTTTAATTCATTTATGGGATGTGAATGTCACTGGAAAGCCAACATTTGCCGCCAAAAGCAATTTGGGTTTGAAAGCGGTAATGTGTCATCTTATTGAAATGAATGTACTTTTGCATCTGTTGCTATTCCCTTTTGATAAGACATAGTCCCAGTACAACTATCTGTGAGTGTACACTCGGAGAAATGACCTGCCAAACTTGCACACAATGTTGGTTCCTTTTCTCGGCACTTTTTTGTTCCTCAGAAATTAAATTTTACATTGCTATTTGGGATCAATATTTCATGTACAGAGTTTTGAGAGTTTAATCACAAAAGCGGCATCTCCAAATTGCTTTGTAAAGTTGTGGGAAGTGCTTAGGACTCAAGACCAGTCTCCCATCTATTGTGCAACTTCCTAACATCATAAATTTACTTTTTTTGTACAGGTCAATGCCTAAAATCATCAAGAGAGAACCAGGACCACAGCTGACCAGGAATAATTAAGCAGTTCTTGGACTCAAAGAGATATTACTAGTATAGTCGTGTTTACATAACTGGGGAGGTCATTTTTAGCTATCCTGCTGCCATTCAGCACATATCCTCCCTTTGCTGTTAACATTTGATCTTGAGAGCCCATTTCAATATCCCAACAATAGGATATTCATTTAGTAATTGGTTGTTTCAAGCATTAAGAACACATGACTTTGCTTACTTTAAATCTGCTATCCACAAAATATATCGAAAAATGTGTTCCCTTAAGGAATTGATGGTTTACCATCAAGCAATTTAATACATGTTGGGTCAAGCATCCGAGTGCATTATTTTTCCAAAGACAGTTGATAATATGAGCAATACACAGATTATAGAGTCTGGGTCACCTAATATCAAGTCTCTGCTTTGACTTTGTTTTGAAGAGGACCTACAATGGTACAAAATTAATTTGGGAAAAATGGGAGGGCAGACTTTGGTTATATGCTCATCATGACCTGTTACTTACTACTTTTCCATTACTTGTTACTGGAGCTCACCAAACCTCCCAGTAAATAACTTTTTGTTTCTGCTCCCTGTTCTTTCTCGACCCATTGCTAATGTGTTGTTTTCTTTCAATGAAAAAAAAGCATGAAAAGAGAAAAAAAGCTGAAGAAGAACATGCAAGTCCACTTGCCTTGGTCTATTCAAGCAACTCATACTCCTTCCCTTGATGAACACAAACCCATTGTCATGCACCAGAGGACCCTTTCAGTAGTTCACAAATTGCACTATTTTATGCCTATGCAATAACAGTAAGAAAGAATTGACTTTGAGCCTGATATCCTTCAGCATATAGTCAGGACGCACCCCTCAACAAACAATCGACAGACATTAGTCTTACGTAGGAATATAAACAGCTGGTTCAGTACCTCAAACTGTTCTGCCACTCAGTGAGATTGTACCTGATCTATAGCCTAACTCCAGCCATTTGCTCATACACTATATTCTTTGATATTCTTTGCCATGTAAGATAGCTATATTTGTAAACTTCAACTGTTAATTGAACCAACACCTACAATTTTCTGAGTGTTTCACATTTCTACAATTCCTTGCTTGGAGACAAGTTTTCAAGTTTCTCTTCTGATTGGTCTAATTCAAAATTAAAGGCTAAGTCCCATATCCTATACAATCATCTACCAATGGAAAATGTCTCTCTCCATCAACCTACAAATCCTTTTTTTATGCAGAAGATAGTGTGGGAGGATGGGGTAAGGAGTAAATGATAGGTGGAGATAGAACTCAAAAAGACATAAGAACAGTTGGACAGACAAAGGATAACGGTTAGCCTAGGAGAATGAATAGCCAATAATGGCCGACAATGAGTTGTGTGTAATAGCAGACCATGTGATGTCAAGGCCTGGTATGTGGGGTAAGGACATGGAAGAATGACTGAACCTGAAATGTTGCCTCTGCTTTCTCTCTATAGATGCTGCCAGATCTGCTGAGTTTCTCCAGCAATTTCTGTTTTGTTGCAGATTTCCAGCATTTGCAGTTCTTGGTTTTAATTAACATTTTAATTTATGGTCTTACTAAATTAATAATGCAACAGAGGTACATCTTGTGCATCAGCAGAGTACCACATAATAAATATTGGCATCTCACTTCTTTTGGAAAGAATTATTTTTGATTTCTGCCATTACAATTTTTGTTTTGTAATACTGGTGTACTAAGCTAAGGTACAAGTTGTTCTCTTCACACAGTACCACGTCACATGCTTTGCTTAGTGCAGGTGCCATCATTGATTCAGATGTCTTGTTGGTCAATGAGGTTAATGAGGGGCCAGTGGGTGAAACAGTCAGCATAAGCAAAAAGAGACAAGCCAAGGTGATAGCACACAAACAGGAATTAGCTGCCTGTGAGATCAGCTCCAAGTGTACAGCCTAGCAATTGATACACACAGGACCTGCCTTTGGGAGGAAATTATTGAATAGGTAAAAGGCCTTCCAAACAAAACTTGAAAATACACAGAACACTCTGCTGTAGTACAATACCTGATATCTCCATGACAATGATTACAAAGCTACTTGGAGAATATGGCATTTCATTGCCATCACAGAGGAGGGCCCAAGTTTGAGACCTCAAATCATAGTTTCTACTGAATGCTGTGAATGAAGTCATGAGGACTTTGAACTCTAGACTGGACTTGACCTTACACCTCAACCTCCTCTGTGGTGCTTCACAGGCTGTTCCTAGGTAGATCCTAGGCATCCTAAAGAAAAGTCCAGTAGTGGGAGCACAAACAAAAGAAAGCACTGATTAGATTGTTTCTTTTAAGAGAAACTGCACATCTGTTGATTGCAACCAGCCTCTCCAAGGATTCTTGAGGCAAAGGAGGGTTTGGCTACTCTCTTCTTAGGCTTCCAATGCAGTCCTTCAGGGTCATGGATAACTTGCTTCCATTCTAGCTCGGTGGATTCGGAGATGGATGCTAAGTCCATTGCATGATCTGCAGACTCTGCCACATATGTGGCAGTTGCTTTCAGGTATCCACGTCTCTGAATCATATAGGATTGTGGCATCACCACCTTGTTAAGAATAGTACCGACTCCATCTTAACACCATCTTATTTTGAGCTACGAAGCCATTTCTATTTTGCAAGATCTCAGAAGCAGCCTCCTCAGTCATGATTATTGCATCATACAAGTTAGTTTCAATAAATGAAAATCATAAAATGCAAGCAAAACCAGTATTGTGTTTTCACCAGTTTACACACAGAATAAAGTAGTAGAGAATTACATTTTCTTCCACAACATTTGTTACCTTCTTTCGAGAAGGGGTAGAAGAATGTGTAAATGTCCTTAGAGGAGGGAAGAAGAGTGACATGGATTCAGTAAAACCTGACAGTGCACTTTACACCTCTTAAAATGCACACCTAAGCCATATGTCCTTTGCCTGGGGATGGGTTTGCAAGAGAAATTGCAAGCCATAATGGATTGCATGAGGAGCATGAGTGTGGAGGTGGGCAGTTCCGTGACTCCCTTGTCCGCTCCACACTCCCCTCCAGCTCCACCACACCCGGCACTTTTCCCTGCAACCGCAGGAAGTGCTACACCTGCCCCCATACCTCCTCCCTCACCCCCATCCCAGGCCCCAAGAAGACTTTCCACATCAAGCAGATGTTCACCTGCACATCTGCCAATGTGGTATACTGCATCCTCTGTACCCGGTGTGGCTTCCTCTACATCGGGGAAACCAAGCGGAGACTCGGGGACCGCTTTGCAGAACACTTACGCTCGGTTCGCAACAAACAACTGCACCTCCCAGTCGCGAACCATTTCAACTCCCCCTCCCATTCCTCAGACGACATGTCCATCCTGGGCCTCCTGCAGTGCCACAACGATGCCACCCGAAGGTTGCAGGAACAGCAACTCATATTCCGCTTGGGAACCCTGCAGCCCAATGGTATCAATGTGGATTTCACAAGTTTCAAAATCTCCCCTCCCCCCACCGCATCCCAAAACCAGTCCAACTCGTCCCTGCCTCCCTAACCTGTTCTTCCTCCCACCTATCCCCTCCTCCCACCCCAAGCCGCACCTCCATCTCCTACCGACCAACCTCATCCCGCCCCCTTGACCTGTCCGTCCTCCCTGGACTGACCTATCCCCTTCCTAACTCCCTACCTACACTCACCTTTCCTGGCCCCATCCCCGCCTCTTCGACCTGTTTGTTTCCTCTCCACCTATCCTCTCCTCTATCCCTCTTCTATCCGCCTCCCACTCTCTCCCTATTTATTTCAAAACCCCCTTCCCCTCCCCCTT